GCGGGAGGAATCGAAGGTTTGAGACAGGACCAGGAAGATTGGCAGGGGTGGAGAGATAGTTGGACTTTGCAGTATCCCAGAGTGCTATCTTGCCGCTGGCGTGGCCCGAGATGATTGTTGTGCCGTCCCAGCTAAGGCTCAGACAGAGGGCTCCGCCGAGCTTCTGCGACTCTGCATTGAACCGGCTCTTCGGCGGCGGCTGAATTGGCCGGTGAGACGAGGCACTATCTCGAAGGACGTCTATTGAAGTAGTCTTCTGGACGTCATCGTAGAAGTCGATGGTTTGTAGGCTGCCGTCAGCGTAAGCCACATAGAATGCCCGGTCAGCAGGGTCAAGAGTGACTGCAGTCGGTATCTCAGACAGCAGATAGGTGCGCAGAGCTTGTCCATTGTGGTAGTCCCATACTATAGCAGACTTGTCCCCTGATATTGACACGGCGATGTTGGCAGTGCTCGAGCTGTGCCCGCAAGCGATGGACGATATGGGGCCGCGGTGGGTAGAGAGGGTCTGCATCGGCGAACGCGAGGCGTCTGGAGAGAATGACAGTATCGTGGGAAGCGCCCATACGTGAATCATGGCATCCGAGGAGCCTGAGAGGAAGAAGTTGGACGACGGGTCGACAACAATACTCGTGACTGGCTGGAGATGGGACGTGGACGTGGAGACAAGACGGCCTGAGCAGACCTAAGATATGTATTAGAGAAACTGCACACTATACCTAGCATTCCAAACTCATGACTGACCTCCCAAGCTAGTATGCGCCCGCTCTCAGTCCCCAGCAAGAGCACGCTGTCCTGCGCCGCGAGTGCGATGCTGTGTATCCTCTCCGGGAAGGGCACAAGGGCCTCCTGGTTGCCCTTCTCTCTGCTGTAGACATGGACAATCGCCTTCTCCGACTGCGCAGCGAAGATATGTGAGGCGCTCACAGCTATGCCGTTTGGCGCAGCCGCGCTCTTCTTGAGGGCCTGTCTTTGGGCGACGAGCGGCTGGAACTCGTGGACGAAGATACCCGCATCTTTGGTGACGCCCGTGTTTGGCTTAGTCGATGCCGATATGGCGGCGACGAATTGTTCGGTGAGCATGGCCGGGCGTGATTGCGGAAGTTCGTTGTCGCAAGTCGAAAGTTGCAAGCTCTAGAAACTTTTTGGTGGAGCATCCAACGACTGGGGGTCTGTGCACCTAGCCGCGGCATGATCCGAATCGGGCAACTTGTCGAAAGCCGTCGATTGCGGGTGCCTGGAGAATTACCACGGCCGTCTGAACCTACTCGAAGTCCCATCCGAAGTAGCTCTAGACACAGCACCCGTCGACGACACACAGAGCTCCAAATCAACATCCTTCGGCACATCTTTTTGCATTAGTCGAGGTCGCCGCGCACATTTTGAATGAAAAGAGCGGCGCCTTGCCTGCGGGACCGTTTCGCTGCCGCGTTGGCAATGAGTAGGTCCCGCTAATGCCCTGCGTCGCCATCTGCTATCACGAGGCCGAGACATGGCCTGGCGAAAGCTCGTAAAGCTACCCCGCATGCAAGTAGCCTAGCCATCTTGGCCATAGGTAAGAGCTCACATAGGGCTGTTCAGCCGCGTACCAAGTGGATTCTGCTGCGTCAGCTCGTCGCCTTCTCGTCACATCACGACGTATGGAGGAAGGTGAACCTTAGTGCGGAACTGGAGCACGCTCAACCCGCCGGTAACATTTCTATTAATATGTGCGATGTGGTGCGGTGATGGCTATGATCACGGCCACTGAATGCTGAATACCTACCTAGATACTTTCACGGGTAGGCCGACAAAGAACTGCCCCGCGTGAACCCATCGCCAATCTAGATCCCCACACGGACGCCTCGAAGAACTACCACGAGAGCTAATGGACTGCTCGGTTCATCCGTCTGGTATTTCTATTTGCCCAATGAGTACTGACCGGATACCTGGAACGAGCTGGCACGAGGTCGATCGGTGTACTCTCGCCTATTGCAACTGTATGGGGCTATGGTCTGGAGGTTCTGCGGACATGGTTCTCGAACAAGCCTCGTGGCAGCCCAAAATCCAGCCATGCAGATCAAAGACACAGTAGTGCGCAGCCCCGCCCAGCTGATAGCCTTGACCTCGCACTCCAGATCTTTGAGAAACACTACTTTACCACTGCAGTGCGCCATCATATATAATCTGGTCTAACTTCCGCACCCTTGGATCATTCCCGGATATTACAACTATCGATCCAATATGTCTCTCGACGATTTGACAAGCAAGTCGTATGGTACGTACATCTTCATGTACTCATAGAAGAAGTGGAACTATTCTTTACTTCGACTGCATATATTAAACCTAAAGGCTACCTGGACGTCTGATCAGTATGTTTCTTTACTAAATTTTTGGTGCTTGCAGACTACATCGTTGTGGGAGGTGGAACCGCAGGCTTGGTCGTTGCAGCTCGTCTAACAGAGGACTCCAACGTTTCTGTAGCTATCCTCGAAGCTGGCGGCAATGGACTGAATGACCTCTTGATCGATGCACCGAACATGTTCACCCAGCTCTGGGGCAAACCGCAATATGATTGGGATTACAAGACTGTCCCTCAGGTAAGCACATGATGTCCTGCAATTGGCTTCATCTAACAATCTGGCAGGAGGGCACAGTCGGTCGGGTGCACGGCTGGGCCCGAGGCAAAGTCCTCGGTGGGAGCTCAGCTATCAATTACAACATGTTCAGCATGGCTTCCAAGCAAGATCTGGACAACTGGGCAGAGCTCGGCAACAAGGGCTGGTCCTTTGACGATATGAAGGCCTACTACAAAAAGTTCGAAACATATCACCCAGCATCAGAGACCTTCGGAAAGGGCATGGACGACAAATACCTTGACAAATCACTTCGCGGCACCTCTGGTCCAGTTCATGTCAGTCGTCGTTGGCAACTCATGGATCTTGCTGATCGAACTAGATATCTTTCCCAGAAACCGACGTTACATGGGGCCAGGACGTGTGGCCCAAGACTGTAGTAAACGCCGGATACTCGCCCGCAAAGGATCCTCGTACAGGCTCAGCGATTGGCGGCTTCAATCAGCTCAACACTATCGACCCCAAGCACAACAGACGAAGCTACGCTGCGAGAGATTACTACGAGCCCAACGCGGACAGGTCAAACATGACTCTTATCACTCATGCGCTGGTCTCTAAAATCGAGCTTGAGAAGACCGCTGAGAGTGTCAAGGCCACCGGTGTTCAATTCACAGTTGATGGCACTACGCACATGATGAAGGCGAGCAAAGAAGTCATAGTCTGCGGTGGGGTTGTCAACTCCCCCCAGATCCTAGAACTCTCCGGTATCGGGTCATCTACTGTACTTGGAAAGGCTGGAATTGATGTTCTCGTTGACCTCCCAGGCGTCGGGGAGAACTTGTCCGACCATACAGCGACTGGTCTCGTACTGGTAAGTGTATATATTGCTTTGGTTACTTTCATACACTGACCTTCTCCAGGGTGTGAAGGATGAATACCCAACCGCCGAAGCTCTCGCTCAGAACCCAGCTGTCATGCAGCAAGCCCTAGAAGCATATATTACTCACAAAGCCGGTCCATTTGCAGGAGCGCCTACAACGACAGGCTTCGCCTCTCTCGCAAAGATCGAACCCGACTTCCCAAACGCAGAGTCGCACATCCAATATCTCCTTGAAGACTTCCGCAGTAGACATCCCGATGCCGACCCTGCAGGTCGCGACGCCCTCTATGGGCGCCAACTCCTCGATCCTAAAGAAGCAGTTTGTCAAATCGTAATGCTGCCTACGGGCGCACAGATGCAGAACCCAGAGTCGGCTAGCGGACTGTTTCCGTCTGTAGAAGAGGGTATGTGGTGCACCATTGGCGCATGCAGTACACGTTCTCTGTCTCGCGGTAGTGTACACATCAACAGCTCTGACCCTACCGCGTATCCTACAATCGACCCAGCGTACTTCTCTCATCCCCTCGACCTCGACATGATGGCCCGAGCGCTCCTTCACTGTATCTCCTTCACATCCGTAGAGCCGCTTGCCTCAGTCCTCCGCCGAGACCCCGATGGCAACCTCATCACGTCTAAAACCGCCGGCCCAGTGCCCAAGACACTGGAAGAAGCGAAGACCTTTGTGCAGAACAGTACGGTGACGGAATATCATCCCGTTGGTACTTGTGCCATGCTACCAAAGGAGAAAGGCGGTGTTGTAGATGCGGAGCTCAAAGTTCACGGCGTGGAGGGACTGAGGGTGGTGGATGCTAGTATCTTCCCAACTCATGTACAAGGAAATATTGTCAGCTTAGTGTATGCTGTTGCAGAGAAGGCGGCAGATTTGATCAAAGGTGTGGATGGCATGGATGTTGTGGAAAGGATAGATAGTCTGCGCGTTGACTGAATAGGGAAGTTCATTGCAGTCGAGAGGAAATGCAATCGATTCTCATGATGAGAAGCAAGCAATAGCAACCTGAGGCATGCCAGTTGACTCAGCTCAATGCGCGCCTAAACTAGGCTCAATGCAAATAGTGCCCATGTTAGCACGTGCAGGGCCGGTGAACGCCAGTACGCACTCGTATGAGAGAAAGAATTTGACAACAACCTCCTGAATTTGTGTATTGGCCTCTTGCATTAACTTGATACATAGTCGCAACACGGCAACCAAAACATGGTTTTCGCAGCACGATCGCCGCAATGACGTAGCGTCCAATCTTACCTAGGTACAATCGCTCCTGCGTAAGTCCAAGCGTTCCTTTGAACGCGAACTTGCCCAATCCGATCCGGCAGGAACACTGCAACGTGAAACCTGCTTTGTCCTTTTCTTGTCGTAAGACGCGAGAGATTACGGAAGTCGCCGATCTATAAACAATTCCGCTTCTTCTCTCGCTTTCTCGTGTTTCTGACGAATTTACTTCAACCTTCACCATTGACGGAATCCCTGCACAACTATTTCCCATTTGACAACTCATTTTCTTTCGAGTTCAGCATATCCAAACAACAACACCACACCAAAAGCCGAAATGTCAACACGCAAATCCAGCCGCGCAACCAAAGCGGTGAAATACACATCCGCATCTGAAGGCTCGGATTTCGAAGACAAAAAGCGAAAGCCCAGGAAGACAACTACAGGTACCCCCAAAAGACCTACAAAAAGGACAAAAGCAGTACCAAATGCGACCACCGTATCCGGAAAGAAGGCCCCCATGAACGCCAAGCGCCCCGCCGAATCCGACGACGACGAGTCCAGCCACGAGGCCGCCGCCATCTTACCGCCTAAACCCAAGCGCCAAAAGAAAGACCCTGAGACCCTCGCTCAAGAGGCCCGCGAGAAGAAAGTCAAAGCCGACAAAGCCCTTTACAAACAACACTGGCAGGACTGCTCTCTTCGCATTCCGTCGAAGGCGAGATGCTAGAAGAAGAGCCCGACAAGGAAGAAAGCATCACGCAGACCGACGCGCTGAAGAAGTACGGGCTCAAGAAAGAGGAACTGACGTCCCTGCTGCGGTACGAGAAGAAGAACCCGTTGTACGGGGGCACGATGAAATTGTTCCTAGAGGAGAACGTGAGGGAGTTGGGCTTCAGGAAGATGGGGATGCTGGAGGGGGTAGAAGGAGGTGATGAGGAGATTTTGAGGAGGGGTGAGGAGATTTGGCAAGCAGAGTAAGTTGACATGTGTATTATCTGATGGATTAGATATACTAACACGAGATCTTAGGCATAAAGACGATCCTAAGTCTGAGGACGACTCAAAACCGACGAAGGTGAAGAAGGCCGACAAGTCTACGCCGACAAAAGAGAAGAAAGACACCTCGGCCAAACCCGAGAAATCGAAGAAGGAAGCACCAACTAAACCCACCAAACCCACCAAAGAAAAAACACCCAAGCAAAAGTGGTCAGCATACATCTCCGCACACACCCTTGCTGCCGACTCGAACCTCACCGAAGAGCCATCCGACGTCATCAATCAAACAGAGTGCAAGAACAAGTACAGTCTCACGCCCCAGGACCTGGCTTGCTTGTCTTTCTTCCCCAAGAAGAACCCGGTGTACGGGAAAATCATGAAGTTATTCCAAGAGAGCGAGGTGAAGAAGTTAGCGTATGTGAAGACTGCTGTTCTAGCTGGAGTGGAAGACGATGGTAAGGATGAAGGGGCGTTGATGAAGGAGGGGAGGAAGATTTTTGAGGAGCAGCGAGAGGGTGAGGAGGACGAGGAAGAGTAGGGGCTGATTGGTACGCGGCCACGACTCATATTGTCTACAGCGACATGCAACAACAGTATTCGTGGATTTACGAGATTACCTTCCTGACTTTTCCCTTGTATCCGCTTTTACTACCCTAACTCCTGTTTCACCCACTCCGAATACCCTCACCACTTGATAGCCTTCTTGAACACAGGAATCTCCTCGAAATTATCCACACTCCACTTCAACTTGCCATCTCCCGTGATCCACGCACCTTGATCAGTAGCCTTCAGCCCCGTCTTCTCGTTCTCGCTAATCTCATGCTTACTCGCGCCAATGCTATCCTTTGCCAACCAAACAACCGGCGTCTTACTCGTGAAAGCAGGGTTCAGGTAGGCCTTCTTCAGGTCCTCGTCGCTGTATTGAGGTTCCTCATCTTCGTCAAATTCGCCGTCGCGTAGCCAAGCCTTCAAGGCAGTGTAGCTACCGAAGACGTGTGGCTGTAGGAACCGGGCAACAGGCGAGACGACCTTGGACGGCACACGCGTCCGTTCGCTCACGCGATCAATCCTCGACTCTGCGTGCTGAAGAGCTTCAGATTCGCCTTCCTCTGCCGAAGACAGTAGTGGTGCCTGCTCACCGTCTTCAGAGTCGAGCGCGAGATCCGCGGGTAGGTATCGTTCGAGTGGAGCGAAGTAACGGTTCGTGATATAGTTGAAGATGGCGGTGGCGAAAAGTAGAATGACAAGCATGATTAGAGGACCAGTCGCTTCGCGTAAACTGAAGAGACCGATGAGGCAGAGCTCAGCGATGTAGATACCAGTGAGAAGATGCTGAAGAGAAAGCGTGTACGCATGTCCTTTAGTGTCGATTTTCGGTGTCGCGGTATACAACAGCTGGTACTGGTAGCACCAGTAGAAGATTACAAGACCGATAGCAGCGACGCCAAGAACGAGAGGCGCGATACAGGAGTAAACGATCGCTGCGATAGATCAGTAACAGGTCGTCTGTGACATCTGAGATGACTTACCGATGACGACAAAGTTGCCGTACTTCGGGAATAGCTTGCCCCAAGCCATGCCCCTCATTGTGATGAAGCTGTTGTATTTCTGACGGGGGGTCTTGTCGAAGAATCTGTCATAGAAAACATACGACAGCACGTCGGTGTAGTTCAGTATGTTACTTGGGGCATTGGTCAAAGCCTGGACAATGAAGTACGCCAGATAGGTGTTTGATGCTCTCGGCAAACGCTCCGCGAGTTGCTGTGGTATTCGGCTTGGGTCTTTGACGATTTGCGATACTACAGCTGCAGCACCTGAAGCGAGTGTAGTGACAAGGAAGACCTGCAGTACTTGGAAGACAAAGTACCACTTGAGCACCTTTAGCTCAATGACAGTCTTAGTCGGCTCTCCGAACTTTGTAAAGATGTCTGCATTATGTCAGCCCGAAGGTAGCAATATAGGTCAAAGGAGGACACTTACACCTAAAGATTTTAGGTACGTAGCTAGCCAACGCGCTCAAGGCTAGAGAAGGCAGGAGACCACTAAGTAGGCTCATAAGTCCGGATGGAAGCTTGTTGAGGAACGCGAGCCATTTAAAATTCTCGGCGAGATATTCAACATTTGACAATGCACCGACTACTCCAACTGGAATGGACCAAAGTATGATGACAGCGACGACTAGGGTGATGGCGACTCCACTCTGAGATATCTGACGCGCAGGTGCTAGGTTCAGGTTGGCCCAGATAACTTCATTGGGCGTAGTACCGACAAAGCGAGGGGTGAGAGACAGAATGTCAGACGATGCGATCTGTTGGTAGGCTCTCTGAGCCGCGGGCTGGGTGCGAAACTCAACGAAGACCGCCGCAGCTCCACCAAGACTCTCAGCTGTCTCGTTCGATTCGCGAGCCTTCTCGATGTCATTCTCTTTCTCCTTAATCTGGTCTCGGAAATAGCTAATGCTGTCAACTTCCTTGCCAACCACTGGTGTCTTGAATTTGTGTGTAGGTCGTAGGGACTTCTTCATTTGCTTGGGTAGCTGCTCGTATTTGATGTTGCGGTTGTGGCTCTTCCCAACTTCCTTGTTGACGTTCAGAATTAGGGACATCTCGGCACCTTCTAGCTCCTCGACTTTCGAGTTCCTCTCTGAAACGAGCGACACAAGCTTCTCGCCTTTGGTAACTGGCCAGATCCTGACTGCATCGTCGCCGAAGAACCGTTGCATGTTGCCTTCGTCGAGAGCTGCGGTAGGTGCCGAGAGGTAGAGTACGGTACGTGAAGACAGCCTCTTCGCGTTCGGCTTTGACAGATTCCATGCTTGCCGCAGTCCGATTAGCCATAGGCGTTCTCGTGCAACAGTGAACATGACAAAACTGAAGAATATCCATGCCACAACGGCATGCGCATAGAGATGGTCCTTGTGCTTCACATTGCCGATGCCAACGCGATTGAGTTCCTTGGAATTGCCGCCACCAGTATAATTGGCAGGCAGCAGAATAGGCCAGGTAATGACAGCACCCCCCACGCAGATGAATATCAGAGTCCTCATGAACCGCATGAACAAGTACGAATCAAGCGACTGGTGGTATAGCATAAACTTGTCCGGAACGGTCCTCATGGTGTGGACCCATTCGAAGTAGCCTGGCGATTTCGAACATGGCGTGCGATCCTTCTCTGGTACGGTGCCAATAAACGTCCGTGGTGAGTAGATCTTGGGGAAGCGGCGCCAGATGAGGACAAACGCGACCATGTACAAAGTCGCAACCACGGCCGTGGGCACGAAAGCTGCAGCGAGTGACGCGAACGAAGAAGGGCCGCTAGACTTCGTGACAGGGGATGTTAGTACACGCGTTTTGAGTAAAGTCGGGGTGTGGACGCAGGTACGTACCGACTGGACATGGCTGGTGCCATGGTCTTTGGCGACGAACACCGTCTGAAGATCCATGCCGGATGTCTGTTGTGGGGCAAGAACTGGTTAGCAATGCCTCATAGCCGATACAGGACGAGAAATTGCAGATTGGCAAAGCGGAAGAGGTTGTGACGGAGGCTTTGCGCGCTTCTGCCTGTGTTGACTAGTGTTGCGGAGAACGATGGGTGAAGCCTGTCAAGCAAGGACGCCGATGACGTAGACGCGTCAGTGGCGCGGATTCATGCAGGTCACGTGCGACTCACTTTAAGACAGCAAACCAACATTACAGACCCGGGTCTGTCCAATCATGCACTAGATATATTAAGGCGTCCAGTACAATCAATGCGCGCATGATAAACCCAGTCGACATTATTACAATTTTATATGTATGCCTACGTAACCAAGAAAGCCCCATCCAGTATTCGTACAACAGTCTATAACGCGTGGTATCGCAGTATGCAAACCTGTTACCCACTATCCAAAACGCCCACAAAGGAAAGATCCCGACAAATGCCTAACGCCGCCGTATGCAAGAAAATAAACTGGATACTACTGGGCACACCTAGAGCCACAGCAGCCATCTGATCACTCCAACCCCCATACCAAATACTCTCTTGACAGATCCGACGAGCACAACAATGAGCCAAAGACACCACATGAGTGCAACGAGAGCCCATTCAACGAGCATCCATCCAAATCCTCGGATCCAGCGCATCCTGCGTTTGCGCGTGCGAATCATGCGGTCAATCTCGTCTGTGATCTGCTTGACCTGCAGGGGGCCTTGTCCGGAGACCTCACTCGTGATGCGCACAGCTTGGTCCCCGCTTTCTAGGATACGCGGCATGAGGTCCGAGTCCACCGTAGATTGCAAAGCCGAGATCTGGTTGGTGAGTTGCTGAATGGCTTTATCGCGGAAACACTCAAGTGAGGACTGTAGTGCCTTTGTGGATGACTCCAAATCCTTGACCAACATGCGTGCAGCAAGAACGTGCTCTTCCTTGCGCGGAACGGGGTAGAGTCGCATTTTTGATGTAGCGGCAGCGCGACTCAGGAAGTCGGGAGGCGGATCTCTTATACTGTGCGCGCGCCGGTCGATTTCCCTTGCTTTGACGCCTGAGCAGAGGAATAGAGCGCGCACTCGAGCGATGTCCGCTTGGGTAACACCATTCGCGTTTTTGTTACGATCAGCAGCATTATCATCGCCGTCGGCAATGCTCCAATGTCTCCCGTTAAGCCCAGGCCGAGAGGCACTACGCTGCCTATGCGAGCCCTGTGCGTTTCGGAGTCCAGTGGGAGGGAGGCCCACCATGTCACCGCCAGGCCGAGCGAGCACTTCGTTGATCCGCTCCTGACTATGGCTCTGGGTAAGAGTGAGATCTCCCGCGGAAGAGTTCCCGGATATAGTACCAAGGTCCATACGTGGTGGTAAAAGCCGATCAATTCTAGGAGAGCGGCTGTTCTTTTGCTCTCGCGCCTGACGTGAGATGTGATGCTCAAAATCCGATTCCTCATCGGGGATTGTGTGAATTGGCCGGAACGAAGGTAGATCAAGATGGTTGCGGTCGTTGTTGGTAACACTACCATCTGTCCCTGCCGTGACGGTCCGACTCATCGGTGGCCGTTTGTTGTGCTTGGCTTTGACAGTGCCATAATCGTCGAAATCGACAGAATTGCGGTCAGACACGGTGTCCGCATCCGAGTCGTCGGCCCGGTCTCTTCTGAAAATGATGTCACCGACTTTGGTGCCCTCATTCTTCACGCCCTTGAAGAATCTTGTGACAGCTGAATGTGGCTCTTGGGTGTCCCTGCGACGTAGTTTATCCGGGCTGGGCAAGCTACTGACACTATCGTTCTTGCGGTGACCGAGTAGATTCATCACAGCTCCGGGAGCTGCTAGGATGGCTGTTCCAATGTGTTTGTCCTCCTTGTCATCTGGAGTTTCCTCGCTGGTCTGCCGAGATCTGGCCTTCCTGTCTGTTCCAGCAGATTCTGGGCGGAATTCGTGTTTGTGATCATCACTATGGTCATGCGAATGGAAAATGCTGTTGAACTTGCCCCGTTTCGCTTTCCTCGTCTGTGAGTTTGATCGACTCGGAGGTGATGAGAGATCGCCTCCAATATGCGGGAAACGT